TATATATATATATATATATATATATATATATATATCGTATTGAACCCACTTTTGTTGTATTTGAACGCAAACATAATATGAAGTACCAGGATATAGCTCAATTCCTCTAAGGATTACAATCGACACTTGTGAAATATACTATTTCCATACTATTAATAACAATATAACTTTGCATTGATAAAATTCTTTCATCTCTTAGACATAGTAATTGAGGGTACTTGTGATATTCCGTCAATCGTAGGTCGCCAACAAGACCGTATCAGTCTTTCCGATAAATCATATCTCGGTAATGCTGTTTTCAACCCAGTAGCAAATGTAATGAACGTAATTAATGTACAGACTCAACCAGGTTAGTTGATGGCGTTTATTTATGTGTAGGCCTATGTATTTTTTTTAGTAGTTCATTTAATGAATTGTAATTATCATAGATATTTTTTGGGGGTTCATATTGTAATGTATTTTATTCTTGTGTTATTCTGTAATATTCTGTATATATTGTAATAATGCAAATTTGAAGATACTCATCCTACCACTAACATCGTTTTTATACTTTTGCTTTTTCTCGACGTTCATATGTCAATTTGTATGCTGTCCTTGATTTATCTCATATTCCGGAATGAATAAAATAAAATAGGATTTATATCACTGCCTTTATTGTCATGCTGATTTGTATTCATTTACTTATTTATGTATTTGTCTACGTGTGTGTGTGTGTTTGTAGCACCGTCCTATTACCGGTGGTGGCCCCAGGATTTGTCCGATGGGGTTCCAAGGTCCCCCCTTGAAAACCCCTTGAAAAATATGACACTAGGTGTTTCAAGGCTTATTAAATCGGTTTTGGTGGTCTACTAATATGTAGAATATACATGTCATTTTTTATTTACCCCGACGAATTGTGATTTTTCTTCCCGACGGAGGACCTGGTTCCCCCCCCCCCCCCCCCCCCCCCCCCGCCACCCATGACTATTACAGGAAGCAGAGCCCATGGCGCTTCATAGTAAAGCTATTTTCAATATTGTGATCATCATTAGGCCTATTACCTAGTCATTGTCTTCGGTACTATCATTGCCATAGTTATTATCCTCACAATAATCTACGGTCTTTAACCTGAATCACACACTCGTTTTAATTATCAGTTTCAGAAGAAGAAACAACAAATCTAACTGAGAAACAGGTTGAAATGCAAGGTATGAAATCTAATTATACTATCGATAAAACAATTTAGTGACTAAAAAACTTAACACACTCAAAGGTTCTTTGTATTAAATCAGTAAGATGGTTTAAACTCTCTAATGCCCATATGGACCTACTGAACACAGTAATGTTATTGTTACACATGGCACAACAAACATCCGAAGCACCAAACAAAGGTGTATTTATAATCAATATCAATTTATAAAATAGAATATCAATAAAAATAAAAATTAGACACTAATTTGCAACGATATATAAAGAACTACAGTAGAGTCCCTATCAGTTTTAAGGGATTAAGCGGACACCTTCGGGATTAAAAAAAAGTGTCCACTGAATACGAGATGTCTGGCCGTAGTGTTAAAAATTTACTTTCCCCTTGTTTAATGTCCCAAAGGAGGGGTTAAACTGTAGTTTCATGTTTATAATAATTGAATAATTGATATATTAAAATATAAACTGCTTCATACGGCCATGTTCCCATAGTTCATATATAAATGAGTCAGATAAAACATTTATTCGGAATTTTAGTTAAGAGAGCTACCGGTATCGAATCGCAAACGAGTCATATGATATACAATAATATGTTATATGCATATTTTAATCAATATATTTAATAATAATTAATATATAAAATAATACAATAATATGTTATATACACATTTTAATCAATATGTTTAATAATAATTGATAAAATATAATTCATAAGTAATTACATCATTAAAATTAAATAATATATTTCATTGTTTAATTGATTAAAGATATA